GATCCAGTTGCGAATCGAGGATGTTTAGATTGATGTGTTTAAATTATGGTGTGGCTGTTGGTGGTCCAAATCAGGCCGGCAGCCAGGGGATAGCTGGAATGACTCACCTGATAACTCGGGCCATTGTCATCAAACAGGGCGTCAACAGGCTGCCTGCCATACAAGTACATTGGACTTTCCTGAACTAGACTGAACTAGATCTTCCCTGTGGATGGCAAATTAGTTGCATGATTCACTGAAATGTAGGGATAGCCGACATTATAGGAATGCTCTGATTTTTGCGCTCCTCCCCCTATTGACCCATGCGCGCTCGGTAACCGCGAAGATATGAGGAGGGTTCTCATCCCATCATTTACTGCGATACAGATATATTGCGTCTGTATGAAGCGGCAGGTTCCAGTAAGGGTCTATAGCGACCAAGAATAAGCCAGAGTATATCTACTCAGTAATAAGTAGGATGATCATGAATGTGCGTAAGAAATCATTGATGGAAGAGGGCTCACATAGATAGCTCCGAATCCATACCTTAGATGGAGATTATGCACGACACTTGCTTCATTTAAAAATGTGGAATCCGCGATGTCTTCGACACGATTGAACTTGGGAGGGTTCATATTGGGAGTGCATACAAAGGGACTCGATGAATCTGATGCGTTTCGTGTCAGAAATTAGCACATCATGAAGGAAATTGAGGTGAAGATACGTATGTAGAACAATGCGCAGCCATGGAGACGACGATGTTGTTCTGGTAAGGCTAGTGACCGTGGGAAGTTAGCACGACATAATTTTGCAGTCACCAAACATTCAAGTTAGCTTTTACATCTACGATTGAGGCGCTCATACATACCCGTGGATACGTGCTTGATGTGTGAAGTGCAGAAAAAATCAGTGAGCACTGAGTACTGAGCAGCATGAACATACTGACAAGTCACCTTGATATTTCCATTTGTTTGTTTCTAAAGGTCTTGCCAAACAACGTCTTTGTTTATGTAAGAGCTCGTAAGTCACCTCGGACGCGAGTGACATATTGCGCTGACAAGGCTCACGACGATCAGATTGCATGTATACTACTAGTACGTGTCATAAGCCATAGTAACTGATGATAAATCGAATATATGAAAATCAAGCACGGAATGCAGCTATAGCTACCAATCTAGCACTGAATGCGATGCTTGTACTCTGTCCACCACGCCGAGAGCTCTGGGTTGGTTGTGATGTGGTCTCGAATATACGTCATTAGTGATGTGTACGTAGGTTTAAAAAGTACCCCAAAATCAATGGACACTCCCAACTGCCCGCTTGCTAGCTCCTGTAGAGTACACTCCACAGGCTGCTGCAGCTGTAAAAAACACTGAATTGTCAAGTTCTGTACTAATGTAAGGGGCGTAGCCAAGTTTTAAAATGACGTCTACAGCGACGGTTGATACGACGAGGTTCTCGAATGCATACAGCTTGCCGACTCCATGAACACCCAAGTCATTCCCGAATATGAACTTGAGCGGGAATAAAGGATCGTCGACGAGGTCCTTCACCTTATCAATCTGATATTGTTGTTTGGAATCCTCCGACCAGATTGAGGGGCGAAGACCGTACCCGATTGGAGCCACAGCATGGGCGACTCTCTTGCAGGTCGACATGAAATCTGCGGACAGTGGCACCATGAACGATTTGTAGAACTCAGGTGACATTTTCTGCACTCCATTGACTCCCGTACTCTTGTGGAAGTTTCAGATACTTTTCAAAATCAACGTAGGTACTGCAACTTACCATCATCATATGCATTTGCTACCGAAGTCAATGCTTCCTGAGCCGCAGGTCTTTCTCTCTTGCTCAGTCAAAAATGGGCATGAACTGAGCGTGGATTGAATCAGCCTCGCACGTGCGCCTTCGAAGATTCTTCGATGGATTCGGATCTTGTTGTTGTATCGTAAAGGCGCTATACGAGATCGGCACAAGGGTACCGCGGACGGAGTAGCATCCGACACACCCTGAAATTCGTTAGTGATTAACGGTTTATAGATAATATGATAATCACCCACCTGAGTGCTAGTTAAACACCTCAACTTTGTTTGTGCGCAGTGGGTATGACCAAAACTTGATTTCCAACGGCTTTTCCGGCGGTTGGCGACTGCATGATCTGGATGGACACTGGAGGAGGTGAAGGCTCCCTGACTTGGAACGAATCTCCGAGAGGTAGTGGCTCATCGAGACCTGGCAGCTCTCCAAGAGGTGGAATATCCTCTGAGCCTGGCGCCAAAGTGGATATTCCATCAATAGACACGATGGGCGGAGGGAATGAAGGAAAGTACTGAGGAGATGGGTGCGATGGCACAGAATCCTGGTAAGGGATAGCAGAAGGATTATACATCGGGTGATACCCTGCGTGCAGATCGAGGGTGAACTGAAACGGGTCATCGACGAATAACATTGATGGATCTTCGTCAGCGCCAGCCATAGTGTCGAGATTGTAACTGATCGGGAAGGTTTGTGTGTAAATCAATGAAGTGGGGATCTGGAAAAGAGTCTGCAGACTGGGAGGCATAATCGGGAAAGTTTGGGTTTGAAAATGGTGCGTTGGGAAATAATGCCGCTGGTGTCTGGTTGCCAGAGCTCCGAGTCTGGCTCGGGGTGAGGAAAGGGTCATGACTCTGGCCCGCTTGCGCATTTATGAAGTAATACGAGTCTAGATTATTGTGTGGCTGCGGCTGGTAGTCCAAATCAGAGCCAGGCGGCCAGGGGATGGCTGGAATGACTCGCCTGATGACTCGGGCCACTGTCATCAAACGGGGCATCGACAGGCTGCCCGCCATACGAGTACATTGGAGTCCAGGGAAGTCTAGCCTATCATGAACAGCAGCAGCATCCTATAAGTTATATTGCGGCTATCTGCGCTTCAAAACATTCAGATTCAGTCTGGTCTGACAAGCAAAGGTTTCGATGAACGTGTTGACTAATTAGAACCGCACAGCCCAACAATGAGGCATGGGCGCTATAACAGAGATGCCTAATTAGGCTTTCAACATCGGCACAATTTAATGATCTATTCAATTCACCTTGCACTGCAGGCTGGAAAGTTTGGGGCGACACCTTCAAATTACCGTTGGGCATAGGGTTGCCAGCGTAACAAATCGAGGTAGAAGTTCCTGGAATTTGGGGTCATTTTCACGTAGCTCAGCACCAAGGAGTTGTAATAAAATGCGTTGTATCTCATTTTGATCAACAAGTTCCATAGCGAAACACATCGGACTGAATAATATTCAGAGAAGCTCATCAATTATGATTATCAGTGAGCCTCAAGGATCAAATAGAAGCTTGAAATTGGAAGGATACGGCGAGTCATCTGAGTCATGTCACGGTCATGCAGGTCCACTATGCATAGATTGAATATATATGCCAAACAGAAAACTAGAGTAGAATACTTTTCTTTAACGAGCTTCAAGGATTGAAAACACCTGAGGGCATGACTCGGAGACTCCGATCTATGAGGTTATCTCCATCCAAATCTACGATGTGCACGATTTGGCTACAATGCACATTAAATTGTGCACTGTCAGAGAGGAGCGGAAAGAAAGAAGGTAACACACGTAAATCAGCAGATAACTTAACAAGGCCCTCCAAGTCGCCCCCAGCTGGAAGCCGCTTGCCAAGTTGCCAGCGAACACTGTTTTCGCATACTCCTGGTTGGCCGTGGCCCAGGCCAAGCTTAGGCCAAGTTTACAAACTCCTGTGATAGCAGGTAAGCCACGATACAAATGGATCTAAACATCAACCATCAGCGCGTCACGGTTCCTTCAAGTTCAAGTTGGGGCGATAGCAACTTCAGCGATGGATATCTGAGCGAGAACCAGCATGAGCAGATACAAGGGAAACAGCCAACAGCCAACATGAAATAATGAGTTCGTGGAGAAATTATTACACAGACGGTAGTATTGGGAACTTGAGGAATATGACCGCCAACCGCTGGGCACTAATTTGTCGAACAGCAACGGCAGCCTGTAACAAAAAGGAAGTACATACCTTTGATTCAGGACGAGGTGGATCCGATTTTCGCTAGGATCGCGATCATGAAATCATCCTGGGTGATATCAAGGGGTTGTGCGCCAGTTACAGCGACTGGAATGGGTCCAACTGATCACGCAATGGGTAGGCAGATGCATATGCAGGCTAGCACAGCTCGTATTACTCTGCTTCGGAGAAACATAACCTGCACAACCAGTATAGGCTCAGGGAAGTGTGGAGTCGGCCATATGAAAAGGGTTGCCTGGTTGCTTATTTCTCCGAAATAGCGACAGTGGTAGTACGGGTGATGGCATGTATACTAGTGGGTGTTGGGTGACCTAACTCGGTAGTATCCGTCATCAGGCTCTTGCCACTGCAATCAGAATCTGCGGCAGTCGTCTGAGAGAGCATGGAGTCCATGGAGATCGGTGTAATCTCGAGGTCGGCGACATATCTTGTGAATAAGTCATAGCATCTGAGTCAGAGATATGGCGAGGTGCATGTGTCTAAAAGACTAGCACAGACAGATCAATTAGTCAAAAAACATGCCTTGGAAGCGCACATATGAATAGACCACAATCTACCTAAACACAGGCAAAAAGATATGCGGTAGTCCATATGCCGACAGTCCGAGAGACTGATGGGCTTCGCACCTAGCATCTTCCTCTCAACACACTGAACATTTGAGTCAGCGCCGAAACTTCAACTGTAAAGCTTGACTACTTATACAGTACCTCAGAAGATAGCTTTTAAAAACATATAAAAATGACCATGGACTCGGATAGAAGATTACGGATGACCTGTCAGTATTGGCCCCACCACGAACGTTAAATGCTCCTGCTGAAGAAGATTCTGGCAAGCCTGTATGGATCAAATTGGGAGAATTAACATGCAAAGTGACTACAAACACTAGGGGCAACTCGTTCGACAAAATCCCATTGATTGAAGTCAGAACTTCGACTTGATGCGACGAGACTGTTTATGACGCTGCAACGTTGTCACGGTCGTGCAGAATGCGGCAACTACTCAGCCCTGGCTCGGCCGCCAACCTGTGCACTGATTTGTCAAACAAGATAGCTTGTACCAAAAGGAAGTACATACCTTTGATCCAGAACGAGGTGGATATAGATCTTGATACGATACATGTCTGAGACCTGTGCCACCGACGCGACTCGGAGATGTGAGGAAATGAATGCTTGTAAAAATGGTAGTTGTATTAGTCATCTTTCTCCTCCAAGTCTCCTATATCTGTATGTCACCCTCAAACGTTGAAGGTTGAATCCTCCTGGAAATGTTGGAGTTCCGTGCTCCACCGCGACAGGCGCACATCATTGTTGAGCGATGCAGTCACCAGCCTGAGTACCAATGAAGGAGTAACCAGAATATCCGAGTCATGATGGTGAGTGAGTCGAGTCAGTGTGATAGTACTAGCTAGGCTTACTGTGACTACAGATCTGGCCTGGGACATCCAATGAATTTCAACTTGAACTTCGACCTGACTCGGACAGTTTGGTCTCTGACTGCGGACTCTATCAGCTGTTGACCGGACTTGGAGGCAAGCGGCCACACTCACTGCTGGCAGGACCGTTTAAACCGATCATCAAGTGTCAACCTTGAGCAAAAGTTCAGCATCGCTATCGGTGCGTCAAATGGCATATACTGTACACATCGATCCGGAGAGTGTTTCGTCCCTGAATCCGAGCCTGAGTCTGCCTTTCTTTTCTGGTCAGCGTTTCGTTTTTGTTGTTGTTGTCTTTCCCAGGTATTTTCAAGTTCAATCATATGTACTACTATTCGCTGCGTCAACTCAGGCTTTTCTTCTCTTATGATTCGCAGCTCACCGTCTTTCATAGCTCATGGACATCTACACTGGTCACCAGTACAATCATGGTTGTGCACCTGAACAATGCAAATGATACTTTGTTCAATTCGCTTGGACTTGGAGCCAAGGCAGCGCGAGAGCACCGTGTGTACTGAAGTACAAAGTCAAGTCTGCCGCACAAATATTTTTACCAGACACCGAGCATAATCCAAAAGCTACACACCGTCACTGTAAGTAAAATTTCTCCCAACTACTTTTTCTGGGCTATAGTCACTCCCATATATTGATCCCGCCGTTTTCGTTGTTCTTCACCATATGCAATCACATCAAGGACTGTCTGCCACTCGGTACTGGTTTTCTCCCGGCAGATGCACTTGATAGCTGGGGTGCCTGGGCCATTCGGAAATAGTACGTTCTCCTTGTCAATGGTGTCGACACCTCCAATCTTCCTCTTGCGAGTCTGACGAGTACTACTGCTAGCAGTGCAAGATACTACGACTTTACAACCGAAGTTGGGACAAGCCACAGCCTGAGTGCCCCCCTTCTGATTTTCATCAGTACAGTTGAAACACCGGCTGCAGACACCTACTATCATCCTTATTGTGGCGGCTTCCTGACTTTCTGACTTGGACTTCTTCTTCTGCAACAAAGACACTCGTTCGAATGTTGCGACAAATGCCATTCAAATGAACACTTAGTACATCAACATGGGCATAGTCAAGCATAGCATCACTTGGGGAGTTGATTCAAATGTTCAGACCTCAGGGGTGAGCTTTTATATCAGTTGTGTGACTGGTGACGTGCTACATTAGGGCAGAGACTCCGACATCATACACACATACTCAAGTAGGCGTATCGCTCATTTTAATTCTGGCTACCCTATTCCTGGACCTGAAGCCTGAGTAAGGTTCAAACGCAGTTCCCTATCTTGGTATGTGCTAAAAACCAATTCCCATTTTGGATATTTATTGAGTTTCCATATTTGACTTGTCCCGTCAAAAGTGATAAGAGAAGTTAATCGCCACGAGCTCCGGAACATTCAAACTCCGATGGGCCTATTTACCAAACCCTTACACACGCCAATTGTAGCACCTCCAACCTGAGACCCCATCAGTTGAAAAATTATGAGCTTCAACCTGGCACCATCTTCCAGCAATCAAGCTGAAGGCCCATGTATATACCCCTCTACACCTCTTCAGCGCCCTTGCTATCTTTCTGCTGCTAGCACTCCCAGCACTCCCAGCACTCCCAGCTATCATTCAAATTCTCCTTCGGGCTCTCCGTTAGTTTCTACAACAGGGTCAGGTATGAATGACTCATTTTTTGCTGGCAGATAGGCTCATGAAAACAACAGCAGCTGGCACCACATCAGATGCAGATGATGATATATTTCCTCTGACACCTAATTCCAAGGGTTCATCCTTTGTCACTAACAATGGAGCTGGGCTGCAGACTCTTCATTGTCCTGAGAGCGAATGTGGCGATCCTCCTCATCGCAGGAGCACATCCTTTGAAGACCAATATCTTTTTGAACGATTGTCAGGCAGGTCTGTTGATTCCAATGATAGATCGGAAACCATCAGTGAGAGGGTAGGAATTGTTTCGAACACGTCTACTATTTCTGATGATATGCGCCACATTTAGGCTAAGGCTGCATATATGAATACTTTGCAACAGCTTAGCCCAACTTCTTTCCAATGCGTTATCCACTACCTGGAAGCCGTTCGTGAACGCCACCGCATGCTCTATCACGCCGCATGTTGGGAAGTCTCAGAATGCGCAAGGTGGGAAGCTCTTGCCCGCTCCATGCATGAAGATTTAAAAAAGGACTACGTGAATGCAGAGCAAGAAGTGCGATTTCTACTAGAAATCTTAGGTCAACGGATGGCATTGACCCATCATCCCGTCGCGAATTGTTCTGCCGAAGTCCACACAACAGCAAGACTTCTGTCCATCGAACCGATGCTGTACTCTTCATCCTAAATAGTGCAAAAGAGGTGCGCCCTACGGATAACTGGTATGTGCTACTTTAGATATTATTTCTGGTCACTTACATACTTCCAGAGGTTGTCCAGAGTGTAGATTACCGCGCATGAAGCATATATCAATTATTTCTTTTGCACTGCCTGTTGTACCGTTACAATTCCAAACTCACCCTTTGATACCAGTAGTATCATTAAATCATGTAGCACAGGAAGCTCGATTTTGCAATAACTAGTCTTGCCCGTCAGTCACCTTTGACCAGCCTTTGATCAGGCTTTGGCTAATACTCCCAATCTACCCCCGAGCATGACTCCGCTTGCCCTGAACATGAAGCCTCCCACCTAGGCGTAGATTGATTCATCAAAAATACATCCATGCTACTGGTTACAACTTGAAAGGTGTCCTCTACAGAGTGCCATGCACTTTCCTCAAACGCTTTGGATTAGTGTATTCTTCTTTCTTCAAGTTCTGATGGTGTCTTGCAATGCACCAGGCTGCTCCTGGCAGAGGACCACGGACAATTGAGGACTCAGTAGGCATCGCACGTCCTGTTGTTTTTTCAAGAGAGCCAGCAGTCTGGCGAGTCAGAAGAGACAAGATTGCGCCAAGGAGGCATTCATAAAACTCTCCAAAGCAAGCACCTCCCAGTCAGTTGCGGTGAGTGACTCCTTGCTAAATCTCTAGTACTAAAGTTCTCAACTTTTGCAGGGGCTCAGAATCTCAGTCGTCAGACATGCAATGAGGGACCGTCCCAATTCTGAAACCAATTGCCCCTTGCGCACTCCTTAGGTCAATTTCTATGGCTCGCGGTTTATGTAGTGCGTCCAGTCTTGTAGACTCGCATCACACCCTTGGCTCAGACTCGGAGATGCCTCAAATTGATCAAGTCGATGTTGAGATGGGGAGTGGTTCTGGCACTGACTGCTATGATTCAGGTTCGTGTCCCCTTGGGCGGCCACTCTGGATGTTTACCGATTATTCTTAACATTTCAGAGGAGCACGGCACACTCCTAATGGGACGAATTCCGAGATCTCTCGATGATATCGAGCCTTCACCAGATGATCTCAATCATTCAGATAGTGCATTACAAACGGCCTCACTACCTGCCTGATCTAGAATACGACACGTTCTTCTAACCCTAAGAGACACCCTCAAAACCACCTTCAACTCGTTTGGTCTCTGTCGGCTCTATCCACGCCATCCTTCCTTTGAACCAGATCAGCTGATTCAATCATCGCTACTTGCAAGAACGTCTCCGATAGCTACTAGCAGTAGTACCCAAGGGGTTGATTCTCCACCAAAGGTCTTCGCGCCGCATTACCCCTTTGCCAACATGTCTATCTATCGGCTTATGTCTTGGATGCACTCTGGTGGTAATCTATTATCGGAAACTAAAGTCTCGCACCTAGTGAAAGATGTCATTCTGGCGGACGATTTCGACTGCAAGGATTTTGAGAATTTCTCAGGTGAGGCGAAACTTGTGAGAACTGGATATGGATGAGAGCGGCAAAAGGGTTACTTTCCCAGATGACTGGGTTCAGACTGGCGTCACCATCAATATTCCCACAAAGGCAAGGGAGGATGGCCCTCAGCCCTATACTATCCATGGATTTCATTATCGACCTCTCGTTTAAGTCATATGTGCGGCATTTGCAGACGTGCAAGCTGGGGCGTACCATCTTTTACCTTTCAAACGGTTATGGAAGGACCCTCTAGACGGTCATGAAGAGCGTATTTACGATGAGCTCTACACTTCGGATACCTGGCTAGAAGCTCAGGATGAGATTCAGAGGCTGACAAAGGAACCTGGATGTTCACTGGAATGTGTCATCGCTGGTCTGATGTTCTTCTCCGACGCTACACATCTAGCAAACTTCGGGACTGCCAAGGCCTGGCTGTTGTATATGTATTTTGGAAACTTGACGAAATACGCACGGTCATCACCCAAGTCAGGGGCATGTCACCTGGTAGGGTTTTTACCTTCGGTAAGTTCTCCTTAATACTTGTCTACTCCTATTGACAATATCAGCTTCCTGACAGTGTCAAAGACGTTTTGAGTAACCTGTCTCGCATGTCGAAGACGGGCATAGCGTCCCTTCATGCCCACTGTCGCAGGGAGTTATTTCATTCTTGCTGGGTGTTAAGACCATACTCAAGTAGTATCAGATCCAAAGGGCTTTGGCCTCAGCTCGTGCACTGTGCCCCTTTCCCGAGTCTTGCCCCTTATTTCAGAGTCTTAGAGTATCGTGTATATTGAGATGGATAAGTCTCGTAACGGATCCGTTATGGCTTCTGGATATCGAAACATATATAGTAATGGCTAATCCGGATTGGATCCGAACTAGAAACTAACGGGCGAGGACTGTCCGGAGACAGAGATGGATATATAGACTATAGGAATCAATCCTAAGCCTCGGAGTAGACAAGAGTATCATACTCAAGTCCGGACGGATAACGGAGGGACTTAGAGTCCAGACAGGATGAGTGCAATCTAAGATGATATTCGAACTGATCTACTACAGCACATGTACAAGGGTTTATATACTACGGATAACTAACAGAATGATCAATAAGCAAGGATGCGAGGCTATGTACGAAGTATAAGCAAAGTATGTGTACAGCATATCGGTAAGTCGGATGGATAACAAATCATAACCGGGAATGAAGTCTAAGCTAAAGCGGATCAGTAAGTGTAGCTGATCAGTAAGCATAACGGAAGTAAAGGATAACCGGTATACCGGTGTACAGAAATGCCGAATGGAGATGAACGATAGTTAGAGTTATATGAACAGGACATGAAACAAGGATTAGATCGGATCTGTGGACCGGACGACGGATATGTCCATCGGATCTGGATCAGATCTGAGATCCGGATCTTCGGATCTGTACCCGGGAATATGGTATATGACACTGGGACATCTTGTTGGATGAAGACTTTCTGTCCGCATACCACCATGGCATTGTTCTGAAACGTGCCGACGGAGTGGTGCGGAGGGTCTTTCCCCGAATTTTCACGTATTCCACAGATTATCCTGAAAAGTGTGTTGCTCTATTCACCTTATCAAAAGATTAAATCACTCATAAATCTACAGGGCTCTAATCGCGACCATCAAAGAGATGGGCTTGTGTCTGTGCCCTCACTGTCTGACACCGAAAAGCCTGTTTAATTTTCTTGGGCTTTTGAGGGACATGAGAAGTCGTGTTGACAACCTTCGTGAGTATGTGATGACGAGGGTAGTCAAGGCTCGTGGTTTTATCTACGCGAATGGAAATACAGTCGACGGTGTCAAGGTAGAACACATTCTTGGAGAGGGCTCTTGGATACCTACTCTGGTAAGTAAGATACTTTCCTTCTTTATTATTAGCTCATGCACTCTACTCGCAGAATCAATTTGCCAAGAAGCTTGGACCGCTTGGCTTCGACTCATTCCGCATGCTCGTAGTTGACTTCATGCATGAGTGCGAACTAGGCACTTGGAAAGTGCTGTTCACTCACCTCCTTAGACTCCTCCACGCCCTTCCTCGCAGCAGTGAGCTTGTCGCATCCCTCGACAGCAGGTACGGGGATCTCATAAGGGGTGTTACCTGCCAACATTTGCTGACCCTCAACCTTACTGTAGGTTTCAACAGGTCCCGACCTTCGGCAACGGTGTTATTCGTAAGTTCTCGAACAACACATCTGAGATGAAAAGGTTAGCCGCGCGTGATTTTGAAGACATCTTACAGGTTTTTCTTGGTTATTAATTGTCAGTATTTGACCCGCTGATAGACCTTCATTGTCAGTGTGCCATCCCGGTTTTTGACGGGCTGTTCCCCGCTGAACATAATGCACTTGTGCAATCTCTGCTGTATCGATTTGCAGAGTGGCATGCACTGGCCAAGCTTAGGATGCACTCGGACTCGACATTAAATTTTCTGTAGGAATCGTTCAAAAAACTGTCTTGGACATTGCAGAAATTTCGAGACCATACTTGTGCGGCATTTAATACTTTGGAATTACCCAAAGAAAAAGTTGCTCGTCAGTGAAGGGCTACTCAACGCTCTGAAATGAACGGCACCATTCTGGAGTCCAACGGGCCGAGGACGAAGAGGTTCAACTTGGCTACCTACAAGTTTCACGCCATGGGTGATTACGTGAGAACCATCCAACTCTTCGGGACCACAGATTCCTTCACTACCCAAATCGTAAGTACTGTCTACATTCATGCTATGTAGCTAACGTTAAATCGTGTCAGGGAGAACTTGCTCACTGAGCACTGAAGGCCCTTTATCCACTGACCAGCAAGATAGATACCCTGGTGCAACTGGCCAAACATGAGCGTCAGTGCCACGTACTACAATGTGTGGCAGAAGTTGGAGGTACACAATCCTCTAGCAGCCAACCGTCAACCAATCCCCCCCCATTGGCGTCCTATGAAAAGCATCACCACATCGCGACTACTCAGAACAACCCAATCGATGTTTTTGCTTTTCTCAGAGAAAATGATGGTGATCCTGCCCTTAAGGTAGGAGTAATATCTTGTTCTGGCGGCACGGCATAATTTATTTATGGTAACACTTAGAATTTTGTCCCAAAACTAAGGGACCACATCATCTATAGGTTGCAGGAGCTAGATTTTAGCTGTTGTGACCATACATTCACGGATGATGAACAAAACTCTGTCATTATTCCAAATAACACAATCTACTCCGTCCAGACTGTGCAGGTGTACTATACGACCTACGACTTAAGGCGCGAGTACGATATGATCAACCCTAGAACACACGGGGACATTATGGTGCTTTCGGGCGAGACAACCCCTAGGCACCCCTACTGGTATGCCCGGGTATTGGGCATTTACCATATGGAGGTATGGCTCAGCGATGGGGCTCAACCAGTGAAGCGGCATCTCGAGGTGCTCTGGGTGCGATGGCTAGCAGCCATACAGGGCTATAGGTCTGGCATTAAATATGCTCATCTTCCAAAGATCGGGTTTGTGGAGGAGTCTGACCGAGATGCTTTTGGGTTCCTTGATCCTGGGCAGGTGATTCAAGGGGCACATCTGATCCCTGCATTCGCTGCAGGACGTGGTGTGAGCTCACTGCGCCATGCAAAGTCTCTGGCGCGCCCTGGAGGACAGCTGGATGACTGGGAGGAGTTTTATGTTGGGATGTAGGTGCAAATCTTCCAGCGATGTATTAACACTCAACTTTGAGCCAGATTCGTCGATTGTGATATGTTCATGCAGTATACTGACCTTGGTGTCGGACATTCTCCAATGCTATGCAAGATCATCAGGGCTTGCCTGGGCTCTGCATCAGTGGTACTGGCCAATTCTACAAACAATATAATTGAAGGTAACGAGGACGATGCAGACCGTGAGGACATCGACAATGGTGAAGGCCACAAATACAACAACATCGACGATGACGATGACGATGACGATGACGATGACGATGACGATGACGATGACGATGACGATGACGATGACGATGACGATGACGATGACGATGACGATGACGATGACGATGACGATGACGATGACGATGACGATGACGATGACGATGACGATGACGATGACGATGACGATGACGATGACGATGACGATGACGATGACGATGGTGACGATGACGACGATGACGGTTATGAAGAATATGAAGAGGTACTTAGCGACAGAGAACTAGATGAGGGAGCTATGGAGGACAATGATGGTGACGGGTATGATGGGGATGGTGACCAGTTCGATTACGATGATGTCTCTTTTTAAAGCTCCCTCTAACTTGGACTAGCTCGTACCTTGCGGTCCTCCCGAGTTTCAAGTCTTCATGAGATAGATAATGAAATATTAGACCTCAAATTTCATTATTGCGGCATACCATCTCCTGAGTTATCCGCGTCATTCAAATAATTTGGTAGTCGCTTCCGGGAAGTTAGTAATGATTTGTCCGACTCAGAGTAGTACTTGGCACACTGAACATTTGCAGCTGAGGTATCTTTACTTGGCTGGCAGACGATTGCATCCGAGTCGGATTCACCCATCATGATCGACTCGTCACTCTCCTGGGATTGAGTATATCCACCAAAATTATTCTATGTTCTGGTCGACTCGGACTCGGACGTCTCAACTCTCGACCAGCCGTGTAGCGCAAAGTTCAAGTTGTAACTGGTCCAGCTACATGGTGACTAGTGTACTAACAGTGACTCTTCCTTTACCCTCTGGCCAGAGCATGTTCGTGGAGACCTCAGCGCAGGAATAAAAGCGAGG